GTTAAATATTAACCCACTCACTCACTCACTAATCCATCGCAACACACACAGTCCATGTCAGGCTCATAACCTATTAGCGACCCCTCGTGAAACCTTAGGGCGGTGGGGTAGCCTAATGGTTAAAGCGTTGGCTCGTCACGCCGAAGACCCGGGTTCGAATCCCCACATGGGCACAATGTGTGAAGCCCATTTCTGGTGTCCTCCGCCGTGATGTTGCTGGAATATTGCTAAAAGCGGCGTAAAACCAAACTCAGTCAGTCAGTCAGTCAGTCAGTCGTGAAACCTTAGCAACGTTACATATGTGCACCATCTTGCATCTTCATTATTGCATAGGCATTCATAAACAACTGATATCGCCGGAGTCGTACTATGGGCACTTGTTTATGATTACGGAAAGGAGGAAAGGATTCCTGAATAATAACTCGTATCAATTGCTTGTACACACGTCAAGTCTTTCAGTGCGTCAAAGCATATTGTGTCTAATACAATATGTATGTATTTGAACGATGGTATGTAACATCAATTTGGTTGATCCTGGCACAGTCAAACTAGTAAGGCTCATCATCAGGTCAGGAACCGTGCCTGTTTACATACAACCTTGATAGTGACTGATACTTTATCTGTTCGGACAGCTAAGTGAAAGGCCTCTGTTTCACGTTTTAAGCCAGCCAACGTCATGCACGTTAAGGACACCCCAAAAGCGCAAAGACAGAAGATATTAGACCGACATTTATAACTGAATCACATATACAAAAGTTTTATTCAAAGTTTATTCAATGATGAGACAAACCACTAGAGCATCCTGTAATTCCATTGTTCTCATGTTGTTCACAATAATCATTTCAAACGTGCTTTTATCTGCATGGGCAATACATACAGAACCAGGCGACTAGACAACAGTAACTGTTGAAAACATTTATATCAATAGTATCAAGAAAGGGGAACAGATGATACGTCCTCATAAGGTCCCAATGCAACATTATCGTAAGAATGCGGGAGTGGGATTTCCGGAAAGGATGTTCCTGTGATGAAGTATCAGATCTTTTCTTCAACACACTCAGGCTGTCGTTGTTGTCTTTGTTTTAAATCCCTGTTTACGAATTATTTCACAAACAAGGGCTAAGAGCGCCATGGCCACACCCACCCCTGCACCATAGAAGGCACTCTGCAAGGTCAATATGTCGACTCTCTTTGCTTTTGTGCTTGGAGGCGCACACCGGTGTTTGGGTTTCCATCGATCCCACCACAGATGCAAGAGGCCGCTTTCGTATATTCGCAATATTCTGGAAAAGGTGACAGAAAGTTTACACGGCAAGAAAGGTACACTCGTCTTCTCGACACGCAATTATGTTCGATACAGTGAACTGATATCCACGCAAATATTTATTTTTCTTATGTATGTTATGGTATCATTTGATTGTTAACATTGTCATCGTTGTCGTCGTTGTCGTAACAAGCAAGGTTCAGCACATTTAACCAGCTTGAACGTGTTATGGATATGATTTTATGATCATAATAATGTCAATGCAAAGCATTTAGCCACACAAGAAAGAATGAACAAATACACAAAGTATCCGAACATATTTCACTCACTGTTTGGAGAAGAGTTGTGTGTATGCACTGTGTTTGGGTAGGCCAACGGCAATTTTGCTATAATAGAAGTTGTCGTGTAACATCTGCAAATCACACCGACGTGGGTCGTCCCACATCTCAAAAGTAGACTCTTCTGAAATGTAGACGTACTGGCTCTCGACAGCTCGGCGCATGTGCTCGTCTCCATCCAGACTCAACCAATCACGTTCGTTTGCCATTTTCTCCTCCACACCGTTCCATACCTTGTGATAGACGGAGATGTTGGATTCCTGAAAACATGGCATAGTTTCCGTATAGAAAGGGTTAAAATAAATAGTTTAAAATACATTGTTTTGAAAGAGAAGGCCCCATTAATAGACGCAACTGGACAAAGGGCATGATTCAAAAATTTGGTGTACTGAACAGCAGCTATTAACACGTCAGCTCAAGAAAACAATCTGCACACACGCACAGATCACTTTGCAAGCCAGATGTTCAAGAGGAGTCAGTTTGTTGTGTAAACATTGTGTTTCATGCTCACGTTTCACTCTACCTTGCATGGTACTAGCGTTTCACCAATGAAAACAATCCGTTTCGGTCCCTAAAGATGCCATCTGCCGAGACATGGCTGTGACAATGTGATGTTAATCTAAAACCGCAATCACTCAAGAGCTGACACGTTTGACATAACTGAAATATTGTCCAAATTTCCAGGCCGCTTCCGTGGTCGAATTGATGTAAGGATGAGTTGAAACTTGTAAATGCCGTGCTAAGACTCCATTGAACTTCTTGTTATCTGCCCAAAGCGACAAGGGCATAATGCTAAGGGACAGAATAATGTGTCTGATATTGGTGCTTGGGGCATAGTGTCTCAGCAATGTAAAGCCTTCATAGGTTTGGAGCTGCACATATACGTGAACGCACATTTCATCTTTCCTCAAATTTTGAACACACCAGTTATATTAAAGAATTTAATGTACAACTGAAGCCTGCTTTTCGTATCCTGAATATAAAGCCACCGTGCTAAGTTTCATTTCGATTATGGGGTATCTCATCTAGAGTGGTACAATCTCGGAGGACTATATCACATGTCAAAATACAACCGGTTCATTGACATTCCACCATGATGGCAAGTGCGCTTTGAAGACGATGATGGGTACGAAGGTCTGCTATCTTAGTACATTTAGTCCAGTGATTGTCACCATGCGATATAGTGACAGAGCTATAGTGGGGATGATACCAGGTGTTCGCGTAAGGGTGACCGTGTCCTGCCCGATTGGTTGCAGCCGTCATGAACATATGCAAATGCTAGTCGATCCATAATATGGAATTGCATCTGATATCATTTTTGTCACTGATGTATCAAATTTTGAAAATTCCTCATATGTCTACCATAGAACTTTTTGAAGGCTCTACTGAGGCCTTGAATGTTGTAACCTTGATTAGACATCTTCTGAGCAAGAGGCGTATGACACTCTTGTAAACAACCTGACATGTCGAACTGACAGGTTGGAGAAACAGCAAAGAAAAGGTGAAAGAATGTATTTTCCACAGACTTTCTCTCATAGCAGCATTTAGTTGTTCTTCCGTAGCTGTTGGTTTCAACTAACAGTAATGCTTACTAATAATGATTATGTCTGCGCCCCGAACGTCAACCAGTTTCACCTGGCTGCTAACACAATTATTTACAAGTTGCACAAACCCAGGGTACAATCTGAATCTGTACAACATAACTGACCTGGAAGAGAGTAACCATTGATGACCCTCCCACAAATCCCCACTTGTACGTGTCCTGCTGCACCATCTCAGCCAGGTTGGAGAATGGCGGTTTCTCTCGTCTGTCAGCAAGGAACGCAATAAGATTTCCTCTGTAGACGGAAGCCAGTATCACTGCGAAAAGCCACCAGCAGCCGAGTACTGTACGTCCGGACCCAGTGGTCGGAATACATGCTCCTCCTGGATAATAGGGAAAGATGTACTGTACAATCAATGCACATGTATAGTCGCTGGGATGTCAGAGGGTTCAGGTGATCCTTGCATAATCAGACTGTTAAGGCTCACCCCAAGATAAGGACCCTTGCCAACATTACACACAGTCCAGATAGTGAGTGGAAATTGACACTGCATAGCCGAACACTAAAGAGTGAGTGAGTGAGTTAAAATTTTACATCGCATCGGCAATATTACAGCCATATAGCCATATAATTTAAACAGCTGTCGACAAAGGACAGTAAAACCAAGTAGACTATCACAGATATATACTTAAAACTAGTAATTCAATCTAAAATACTTTAACTATAGAGGACGATACAATATAACAACTGAACACCTAAAGAACGCCTCGAAGAATGTGAAGACTCCCCCATACTACAAGCGTCTGCATTAACCAGTGCGTCAGAGGGGTTGTGTTTCTTGCATCAAGGCAGGGTCCTCTCCCATATCAGTCTTGAGATTGGGATGTACCAAAACCCGAGGCACCAAGTCTACAACAAGGATCTCTGGATGCCAATATGGCATTTTGTATGCGGGGTCCGCATATTTGCCAGTTCTTTGCTGATTCTTACGATTCACATTAGTTTCAAAAGGGACTAAGAATTATATTACAAAAGACGGCATTGGATTTAACACAAACAACACGGTAAGGATTGTTGGTATCGATACGGATAAGGCTGTATACAGACCTGTTCCATAGAATTTTAAAATTGTCATGACGATCTCTACATATAATGCGTTATATCATGAATGGACCTGGACTTTGAGTCAAAACCACAAAAATGTCGAAGGCTGTAATACAACGATGTTTGTCTTTATTGAGGGCTCGCAGCGCTGATCTCCAAAATTATTATGTCTTCATATATATTCTGCCAAACGTTTCCCTTTTATATGGGATTCCGGAGTTTGTTTCTTACCTCAATTCCACCTTTGTTTACGTGTGATCGAGGTCAATAGAAGAAAATCATTCCACAGTAATAACAAAATGTAACAAATAGTGAATATGATAACTGTAAGTAAAGCTGCTGCCCTTTCAGAAACTAATCGTCACTGCATACATGAAAATATATTGTAAATCAGAGTTAATATAACATGTCAAACAGAAGCCATCAATAGAGAATCTCACCCAAGTGTCTACTGATATCAATTATATCAACACGAGTTAATAAAGTTACAAATATCCGAGGCTTATCACCTTGAAATGATTTTCTTCTATTGACCTCGATCACACGTAAACGTTTTACTGTTATCTCCGAGTGTTGATATAATTGATATCAGTAGACACGAGGGTGAGATTATATTAATCATCAACAATCACTCTTAATTAGTTTTCAATGAAAAATGTATATCTCTGAACACGGTACTACCATAAGACTTACAGTGCAGCGATGTCATAGCAGTGTGACGTGATCAAGTTCATGACGTCATAACATTGTCAGGGCATTGTATAAAATCTACTGTCAAAACGATATCTCCTTGGAGATATCGTTTGATCTCACACAAAACAATATGTCCTGTGGAACACAGCTTTGGATGATAAAACCCTTTCCAAATCCATACAAAATCTCTGTTGAAAGCAGAGTCGATTATACAATCCCCACTATATCATAAGTATGTATTTGTTTCAACAGTATTACGGTTGTATGATGTTGTTTGTAAATAATCAAGTCTGGACCAAACAATCCTATGGTTGTCACTATGTGATACGATGCCAGAGCATGTATTTATGCACATTTCACGTCATTTTAGAAGAACAATGCTGATTTACCGTTCGCCACAAGAGCTCCTAAATGATTGCAGAGTATATTTCCATATCGGGTCTGCATATCCGTGGGTCTGCCATCCGTCCACGAACGGACTGGTGTCACTTCTTCCATGACAAAGAGGAACACAGTGGAGAAGATGAGTGAGGCGATGATACATACGAGAACCTCATAGCGGAACAGGGAGAGAAGGGTCATCCATTTGTTAGTGTTGGGATCTTGTTTGCTGACAATAAGAGCTGGGTTGAAGTGGACGTATGGCACTGTGAAATCGATGACTGCCGCTCTTCTCTGAGTCACAGTCATTGGTGCAACAATCATATCAACTTCCTGGAAGTACAGACATAGCAACCTTTCAAACTTCGCTTAAAAAGCCAGCTGCTGGTGTGCGTATTAAGAGGGGGACTATGTTTGGTCACGTTGCAAGTCGTTCATTTTTCATTTTTACAGTTGCTAATTACAACTACCTGTTTTATATTATTAGAATCGTTTTATTTAATAGCTCATACATATTCATCCTGTGAAACGTTTATAAATGTACCAATGAAAATCAAGTGAGCCATCGGCCAGAAAATCCAACGAGACCCTGGTACATTTATTGATATGTTCAACTATTTAATATTTTGAATTACGACTGTTGAGTACAAGTGCAGAGATTCCTCTGCTTGCCGTTGCTCGGTAATGAGACAAAGAACACTGACTGATCATGTTGGACCTCACCATCAACCCACCGGCGCCCGTGTTCCCTATCACAATGAAGAACAGTGTGGAAACAATTCATGTCAGCACACTGAACAAACCCTTAATGTAACTGCTTATTCTGACTGTAACATACCCCACTGACAAGTAACTTCACCAGCCCCGTCCAGCTGCCGTTCAGTATCCGACTCCACTCTCCGTCTTCGGGCTCCACCAGGGTGTAACTAACAAACACTAGGATTTTTGAGTCGCAACAATTACAAGTAACATTTGTCTTTTACTGAAACCGTAGAGTTATTTTAGTGGAATTAATTAAAATATACCACACCTAGTTATAGCACACACATAAACTAGTGCTCAAAAGAAACTATACACCGCAAGATATTACATACACATTCACATAGATAAATATGAAGTGATAAAACCATACTTAGCCATGTCACACACGTACAGACCCATCCTTTCCGGGACCAAACGGCGAAACAAGTTAACGAACACGAAATGCACGTGTAGAAAACAGCTCTCGCAACACGTGAGCAGCACAGTAGTACTGACTGACTGAGTTTAGTTTTACGCCGCTTTTAGCAATATTCCAGCAATATCACGACGGGGGGCACCAGAAATGGGCTTCACACATTGTGCCCATGTGGGGAATCGAACCTGGGTTTCGGCGTGACGCGCCAACGCTTTAACCACTAGGCTACCCCACCGCCCTCAGCACAGTAGTAAAAAGTACAAAACAATATGCCACGTTTCAGGCAAATCGAAAGAGAAGGAGAGATGTCCCAGCCAGCATGTTCTCCCGATATGAATCCGATAGAACACATATAGACTACCTGGATCGACAAATCAGAAGACTTCCAGAGCCACCTGTCACCGCTCAACAAGTGGAACAATGTCTCCTACAAGAATGGCAACGGATCACGCATAACGTCATTCTTAGTCGTACGTCATCACTGCGTCGAACCAATGGTGGCCACACACACAATTGATTTAATGATGACATTTTGCAGAAAAATCGCCTTGTTGAAATGTGTGAAATTTTAGACAATGATGCCACCTGTGTTTCAGTGTCAGTGAGACTCTACTTTCGACTTTATATGAAATGAAATTGTGTACATTTGCTGTAGATTTGAATATTCTATTGAAATTAAACAAGTGTTCATTTATATATGCTTTGTTTTATTTTCAAGTTTGGTCAAACACTCTGTGTACTTTCTTTTGAGCACTTGTTGATATACACACGCACACAACACAAACGTGCACAGACAAATATATTGCATTCTGAAACCTGAAATTGAGTTGTTTCCCAAGTTCCTGCAACAGCTGGATGCAAAGACCGTCGAACCTGACAGAACCGTTCTCCACCCTCTTGATGACAAATGGCGCCCACTGTGACAATACAAGAAAGCTGTTATGAAATACATTGCTTCGGCTATTTCATGGTTTCTTGATGAACCTAAACAATGTACTATTTCTTCACCGAATCACATGTTGCCGACCATACTTTTAATGAATACAATGAATATATTTTGTCATTAACAAAACAGCTGAGTAGAATTTGCATTTTATATGTTCATAAAAACAAAACAACAATCTTTATACAAAAGCAATTCTTGTCAATCTTCGGCAGGATTAAAATTAGCTGTAAATTAATATATATGTTCTGCTCTGCTTTTACTATCCAACATCCACTGTGCGGTCAAAAATATATTCGATGCACAACTTCATAGTGTTATTTAGGGTAGTTGTTGTGGTTGAAATATTTGTAGTGATTGCCTGTGGCAGAACATGGCTGAGGCGTTCGTAATATGTCGAGAGTTCTCGTGGCTAATATGCTAGATTCTGGACTCTAAATATGGTGTAAATATGAGAACATTTAATCTCGCTACCAGTAAGTGTAAATGGCAAGCATAAATCGTCGAATAGCCATTCTCGATTACAGATTCTGCTAAAACACATTGTAGGGTGAAGTAAAAACAGGTCAAATAACATAATAATATGAATGGATAAATGTAAATGGGTGATGACACCGTGTGTTCACGAAAGAAGAATTCTGGTGATACGCCCGCCAGACGCACAGTGTGGACCATAGAGTAAACATTGCCATTTAAACACCTCTAGAGTTGCGATAAGTAATGTTCGGTTCTGAAATCCATGTTCGCTGTCGTGATAGAGTTGCTGCTTGACTTCCAGATCGCCATCTCTCCCTATATTGCCAACGGTTTCAACATCTTTTCCAGCATGGCTTGGTCTGAGAACTTGAAGTTTGACTTGAATGGAAGAATCGCTTCCGGTTTCAGTCTGCAAAAATAAATGTCGTCCATTGGTATTGACGAGTGGGATTTGTACACCTTTATCAGATATTACCGATAATGACACCGAAGACGGACAATATAACAACAAAAGCTGACCAATGCGGGTTTAGGACATAGTATTGTAATACAACTGCTGGCGGCTGTAAGAACTGTCACAGCTAAGCAATGAGGCTTAACTTGAGAGAGTCTACTATAAATTGAGAGACAAACAAAGTATTTTGCAAAGAAAATTTATAGAACTGTTGTTAAATTTCATTATGTCTAACTAATCATCACTCATCGCTGTAACAGTGTGTCGAAAGGAATCTGTGGATTGGTAATGTTGTCAAAAATGCTTTCATTCAGGGAACACCGGGATAAGAAATAAATTTGCAACCAGACGACCCTACTATGTTCGAAATGTAAATTTGTGCCACAAAAAGCAAACCTGACAATTTTCAAAGATAAGGTGTCTACGATGCATATAATCAATTGTGTATTAATTTTAAATTTGGCATTTTAACAAATTTATAACGAAATGATAACGTAAAACATAAAAGCATATAATAGCACTCTTTTTCTTCTTCCTTTGCTTATTAAGCCTCAGTACGGTTCATTTAGACATGAGTGGAAGGTCGCGGGTTCGATCCCCGACCGCGTCATACCAAAAGACGTTAACATTTGGTACTTGTTGGTCTCTGCCTGGCGCTCGGCATTAATGGGTACAATAAGGACTGGTCGGCTCGGAGTCAGTATAATGTGTCTGAGTGGGGTATTCATGCTTCACTGCGGCGTGGTATCTCAGTGGGCTAGCACTATAAAACCAGCTTCAGTCAGGGCTAGTACAAGCAGCCACACAGCTATATATTCTCAAGCACGACGAAAAAACCCAATTTCACCTCACCTCACCATCATTTAGACATAGGATATAATAAACTAAAGATATTGTCATTTAAAATCAAACATGATAAATCTCTCAAAGAAGTTATGACAAAATCACCTCCTGAGAAACATGCTTCGTTTTTGTTTCTCTTAGCAAATGAACTTCTACAATGTAGTCACACAACATAACCACGTTATCAAACAAATGTTTTTACACCAATGTTAGGCTACACAACGGCATTAGCTAACTGACTGGGCACGTATATGATTTTACAAAGTTCTCAGGTATTTGCTGAAGTTGTTTGCCTTAAAAGAATTCGGTTGATAGTCAGCCTAAGCTGAGAATTAATAATTCTGAACAGTGCGAATGGGCTTCTACAATGTAGTCATATAACACAACCACACTATCAAGCAAATGGGTCAGGCAATACCGTACGGTATCAGCTAACTGGCTGGGCACATATATGATTTTACAAAGTTCTCAGGTATTTGCTGAAGTTATTTACTCAAAACGAATTTGTAGTAGAGCATTTGGTCGATAGCCAGCGTAAACTGAGATTTAATCATTCTGAACAGTGTCACGGAACGAGACCAGTTGAACCCCATCAAGAGTTAGGTTTTGACTTTAGATATTGAAAACAGATACCTTCTGTATCCATTCTGGACTGTCATCCACCTGCTCTGTCATATTTTTCCTTGATAACTTTGATAGCGTCTTCATGATAATCTCCAGGTTCTGTAAACACGACATAATTCCGAATGCATCACCAATGTAAGTACAAATAATGTAATGATCCACAGACACATTCTTTTTCGGCACGGGGATAATTCTTCCTAAAGCTTACACCATCTTTGCAGTTTTGTAAAGGCTTCGAGTCTTAATAGTTAGTCCTTTCCTGTATA